CAGCATGCTTTTCTGTTTATATACTGTTGGGGGTGGGGGTGAATCTGGTCAGTTTCAGGGGCTTCTTGAAGATATTTTTGAGTTGTTTACTTCTGTCTTAACAAGCTTCTTCAGGGGATGGAATGTTACACACACACACACACACACACACACACACACACATCCTATCTTAAAATATCCTGCTGTTTTACTTCTTTTTTACACCTTATGTCTTAAGAAGTATCTGTCCAAGATGAAAGGTTTAGCCTCAGAGGAAACTGCTACACAACATAAGACCTCATCAAAGTGACCTTCCATGTCCTTATTTCCACCAATTTCCAGCGCATGAGCATTTGGATAGCCTCTGAGGAGGCTGACACTATCTTTGCAGATTCCCTTCTTATGAGCCATGATTGCCCTTTAGGTCCAGCCTCTGATCACCGCCCAGTTTCTTAGCCACTTCCAGAATTTTAGCTCTGAGGCTTCTACTACCCTCAAGCCTTTAATTTTTGAAAATTAAAAAAAAAAAATAAAGAGCCTCCCAATTTGTTAGTCAATGCCAAGTGGTCAGCCCTGAAATCATATGCGTACAAGTAACATTATATGGACTGAACAGGTTGTATTTGTATATTTATGTGTGTGTGTGTGTGTGTGTGTGTGTGTGTGTGTGTGTGTGTGACAATGAGAGGGAAAGAGGGAAACAATGAGAGAGAGCAGGGAGAAAACAGGGTAAATGGGAAGGGAAGAGCTGAAGGAAAGAAAGGAAGGGGGAAATGATATATTTTAATTTTTAAAAATTTAAATTAAAAAACGAGAATTTTCTAGGAATCATAGAGTAAGACACTGCCAGATAATTCCCCCTAGAAGACAACCACTAAATAAAGAAATGCTATGAACAACAACAATCTGAAAGCTACTAAATTAATGAGAATCCCAGCGATGGAAGAGGCAGAGAAGAGACTCCCCAAATTCTGTCTCTATCACCCCAAACTCTGAATGTATAGACCAGACTCGGTGAAACTCAGCTAAAGAAAAAAGATGTGGTTTGAGACCAGGCTCCAAAACATCAGAAAATACGGGGATGGGGGTATGTTGCTTCATGGTGTTGGTCTAGACGAGGATTTTTCTGGATAAGATCATAAAAACATGTGGGGAGCCAGACCCCCCCCCCAGACTTTCTCAGAGGCCCTGATGAAAGGACAAACTTCAGTCCTGTGTCCTTGTCCAGGAACAGACTTGGTAAGGTCTGCCTAGGTCTGCCTAGGAGTCAGTCCCTCATAGGAGTCAAGGTTGCAGTTTCTGGGGACCCGACTCTTTCCCCTGGGCTGTGGCTATCAGTCCTTAGGCAGCTGTCTAAGTACCCACACTCTCTTTACCAACACTGTCTGACTTAGCTCTCTGATGACTCTGCCCTTTACCCCCTGCAAATCCTATGTACGCTGCTGCACTTCCTAATGAACTTGCTTGGCGTAAGTCATCTGCTTATACAAGACCTCCTGGTCCCAGCTACAGCTTTGTCTTTATTTCTCATCCCCAGGCCTCCCACTTGATGCCTCACCAGCCAGGACCCTTATTCCTGCAAATTTGGGTCAAACGCATAGATAACAAAAGTGAGAAGAAATAAATGAGATTAAAGAAAACAGAAAAGCTTCACAGCCAAGGAGACAATCAAAAGAGCGGCTAGATAATCTACCAGAAGAGGGGAAGGTATTTAACATCCACATAGTGGCAGTGGACGTCACATTGCCTGGTGACATCATGGCCATCTTAGTATGTATAGGTGTACTCTGTATGTCCCCACAATAGCAAAGTCACATGAGAACACGTTTCTTACAATGTGTCCTTGTCCTCAAGTGATACATGACTACACTTGAAAACTATCCTTCTGACAAGGACTTAAAATCCAGAAAACAAGAATGGAAACACTTTGCGGCAAAATAAACAAATAATCTTATTTAAGAATGGGCCAAAGCAGCTGGATGGTGGTGGCTCAGGCCTTTAATCCCAGCAGTCAAGAGGCAGAGGCAGGTGGATCTCTGTGAGTTCGAGGCCAGCCTGGTCTACAGAGTGAGATCCAGGACAGCTGGAGCTACACAGAAAAGCTGTCTTGAAAAACCAAAACCACTTGCCTTGGAGGAGGTGGGAATGGGGGTAGGTTGGGAGGAAGGCTGGGGGGGGGGACAGGAGGAGGGAGGAGAGGGGGAATCTGTGGTTGGTATATAAAGTGAATAGAAAATTTCTTAATAAGAATTTTGAAAAAAGACTCCTTCAAAAAAAGAAAAAAGGAAAACCAAAAACAAACAAGCAAACAAAAAAAAGAATGGGCCAAAGCATGCACAGACCCGAGCCAGATGAGATAGGTCCCAGCACGGAGAAGGGACGTGGACTCAGGCTCCTGTCCCTCCTATCTCCAAATGATGGCCATTTGCACAGGAAAAGTTACTTTTCTCCCAATGGCATGCCACTGGGTAGACAAACCACATTTAAGGGAGCCCAGTGTCCAGTGGTAGATGGCCAGCACAACACAAAACAAAGTTGATGGTATTTTCATAGAATTTTTTGTCTCAGATTGCTTTGTTTGGGCATTTTTTTTTAAATCTTATTCGTCTTTTGCTTGTATATTATAGTTAACAATTTTGTAGTAGTGGTAGTAGTAGTAGTAGTAGTGTGCTTCTTGTGTTTTGTTTTTCTGGTTTATTTTTCTTATCTGTCTGTTTTCTAAAGAGAAAGAGGAAGAAGGCCCGAGTCGGAAGTGTGGAAGGTAGGAGGATGTAGGGAATGAAGGAGAGGAAACTGTGATTAGAATACATTATATGAAAATAATTATTTTCCTTTTTTTATTATTAAGAAATTTTCTATTCATTTTACACACCAACCACAGATTCCCTCTCCTCCCTCCTCCTGCCCCCCAGCCTTCCCTCCACCCCACCCCCCATTCCCACCTCCTCCAAGGCAAGGTCTCCCATGGGGAGTCAGCAGAGCCTGGTACATTCAGTTGAGGTAGGTCCAAGCCTCTCCCTCCTGCACCAAGACTGTGTAAGGTGTCCCACCACAGGCACTGGGCTCCAAAAAGCCGGCTCATGCACCAGGGACAGGTCCCGATCCCACTGCCTGGGGACCCCTAAGCAGTTCAAGCTAAACAACTCTCTCGCCTATTCAGAGGGCCTAGTCTAGTACCATGGGGGCTCCTCGGGTATTGGTCCATAGTTTATGTGTTTATTTTCAATAAAATTATTAAATAAAATTTTAAAAAAGAATGGGCCAAATAAACCTTCATAGCCATTTCTCAAGCTATATTACTAGTCACTGGGAAAATATAAATCCAAAGCCTGATGCACTGCCATCTCACTCTAGTTAGGATGGCTAGATCAAAAGACAAAGGTAAGTGCTGACAAGGATGTGGGGGGAAATGTTATTGGTGGGATTTACTTAAGCATAGCCATTGTGGAGATCTGCATGGTAGTTCTCAAAGACTAGAACAGGAGTACTTACCACATCGTCAAGTAATTCCACTATTGAGTATATAGCCAAAGAAAATAAAATCAGTACATTAAAGGACTCTTTGTACTTCCAAGCTTATTTCAGAACTACTCAGAAGAGCTAAGCTATGTGAATCAACCTGTGTCCATTAATAGGTGAATGGATAAAGAATATCACACACGCTATATAGCTATGAACTATGAATTCCTGTCATACGCAACATTGTGAATGGAGATAGAGGACATTTTATATTGGCTGAAATAAACCAGACATAAGAAGAGTAATACTATACAATTCACTCTGTGTACAATCTGAAATACTGCACCTCATAAAATCAGCAAGTAAAATAATGGTTGCCAGGGGCTAGGAAAGTTGGGGAGTGGGAAATGGGATTGTTTTGCCTGTGAGTATGAAGTTGGAGTTAGAGAGAAAGAATAAAATCTGTTACTGTTTTACTAGAGGGGTAACAACAGCCAGTGATGCTATATTGTGTGTTTCAAAATAGCTGGAGGGAACGTTTGGGACGTTTCACCACAAAGAAATGATAAAAATGTTTGAGGCGATGGATAGCAATCATTTGGTGTTCTGTAACCATTTCTTCCCAACGGAAACACTTCCTGCTGGAGAGAGAGAAGGGAAGTTCCTGCAACTTACATGACTCAGGAAACTCAAAAATTACAAGTTTCACAAGGCCTCTCCCTGAAGCTAGGGAGGCGGTAACAGTTGCTGAGGAGACTGGGCAGCCTGCGAGGTGGGCTACAGGGATGCATCTGTGGACAGTCATCACCCATGCTGGGGTGAACTCCAGTGATGCTCCTGCCTTTGGGTCACCCGGGCTCCTGTAAGGAAGCTCAGGAAACTGCTAGACTTGCGTGGAATCACGTCGTCAGCCTGAAACCGGTGCCACATCTAGAGGGAATGGACTTTTGTTCCCATCTCCCCTGGAAGAGTCCCACGGTGCCTTGATTTGATCAATATATGATGTAAATATGTAAAAAGAAAATCTCAAGGTGATTTTCAAAGCCTTTACAAATGAGCAGCTAATGTTTAGTTAGTACCCAACAAGGTAAAGAGCCATTACCACACCTGGGCCGGAAGTCACAGGTAAGAAGCTTTGGTGGGTGTCAGCTGACCAAAGTTCCCTTTGGTAGACAGAAGAACCCAGACACAGCAGGCAGATAAGAAGGGATCCTGGGAAATACATCCTCTGACCTCATCACCTTGACTTCCAGTCTGCCTCCAACTGACCAAACTCACCTGTAAGCCAGAGGTCAAAGGCCTTGAAGGATCCCTACAGACCCACCCAAGGCACAGAGTCAAACATCAAGGAGAGGGTGGTTCTGGAAGAGCAGAAGGGAAGGCTCTAGCCTGATTTCCGTCTCCACAGAAAAGGAACGAAAGGAGAGATGGAGGAATTTAAAAAAACCTGTTAGGGATGAGGGCCAGTGGTAAGAAAAGGCAATAACCCAAGAAGGATGCTTCTGGCTCAAGAGGGCTGTGTGTATCACTTTAAAAACAGGAGCATGTCCAGGAGGATCCAAACACATTTATTCCAAATGAAAACTTTAAACACCGGCCTTCCCTCACCATTTTTAAGTAGGTGTTCCCTGTATGACCTGGACCCCACGCACATGCTAAGGTTCTTCATCTACTATACCCCGCCAAGCCCTCTGTTTTCCCGAGGACCTCCAGCCAGTCTCTAAGCCACGCTCTTTTCACAGTCTAGGGGAGAAGCCAGCTACCGTGATGTTCTCCCCGGTGATGTAGCTGGCATCTGAGGAGCATAGGAAAGATACAATCCCGGCACAGTCTTCTGGCTCCCCTAACCTGCAGGAGAGGAGATGAGGTCACAGGAAACTCTGAGCTCTGATTGGGGCTTCCACAGTCCGGGAGGGGCACCTAGCATTCGCCAGTCTCCGTGGGAGGTGATGCTGTTGGACTCATACCCACCCTCCTGCCTCCAACCCAGGACTCCAGAAAGCAGAAGAAGCCCGGGGGGGGGGGGAGGCTTTTTCATCTTAAAATATAATTTTACCTAAAACGAAGCACAGAACACCCCAAGCCCTACCTACCGCTGCAGTCCGTAGATTTTATTCAACTCAGGCCGCATGTTCGGCAATGTCTTCTCCTAGGGAGAGATTTCAGAGCCAGCGTTAGGCAGAGGGCTGGCGATACAATAGGGTGAGGATAGCGTCATGGCTGACCCACACCTCTGTGGGAAGATGGGATGAACACTAGTGTGCTTGAGGAAGACAGAGACCCTCATTCTTCTGCGCAAAAGTAAGGGGCTGCTGCCCAAAGCCTGACCCTGGAAGGGGGCTCTCGCTGCATGTCCAGGCTCTGTGGGCCTCCATTCAGATGGAAGCCTGAAAAGGGACCAGAAGGCGCATGGAGAGAGGACGACGCAGGCGGTGGGGACTGGAAGGCGTTTGTCATTCTCACCCCCAGGCCAAAGTCCGTCTTGATGACTCCCGGCACTATGCAGTTCACCCTGATGCCTTTCGGAGCCAGCTCCACAGCCAGAGACCTGCAGAGGCCCAGCAGAGCCGTCTTGCTGGTGTTGTAGGCGCCCAGTTTCTGAGATGCAAAGAAGGGGACCGCGAATCAGTGCGGTAGGAAGGGATCCTTACTGGAACAAGGTCACTTCCGGGCTGCAGACGACGAAGCTGTGCCTGACTGTGGCCTGAACACAGATTCTCTCTCCCCTTGCGCCTCACCACCCCACAGTAGTTTTCCAGGAGTCGGGACCTGGTCTATGTCACCAAATTGCTATCAGGTGTACCCAAGCTTGATTTGCTGCGCTGTTCGTTTGAAGTCAGCCAGGAAACTGGAATTAGGAGATACAAGGTCTTACCCTGGCAGGTACCTCAAACGAACATCACTTACAGGCAAATGGCATATTTTTGCCCCTTGAGGGCAAAATGAGATAATAATACCCGATCTGAAGCATTCATGGTGCATTCATAGCTTCTATTTATCTAGGATCAACAGTCAGCTCTCCCACATCCCTCTGCAAGGCCTCACAAGAAATCAAGGCGGCTTGCCCTCACCCACTTTACCAGAGGGTGCCATACTCACCGGCACTGGGAGATAAGCCACTGCAGAGGATACCAGAACAACAGAGCTTCCCCTTGAGGAGAAAGGGATATGGGGTGAGATTAGAGATTCATTCAATTAGAAGAGGCAGGAAACTGTGTTTTCACGCTCAGAGGAGAAGAGCTCGGAGTTGACGGTGAAAGTGTGAGGCAAGGATCTAGAACTCTGAGAAATGAGGTATCTGAGGTAGTGAACCTTGAAGTCGATGCAGTAAATGCAGTCAGCGTGGCACCCCTTAAACAGGGTCCCCAAACTGGGGCAGCACATCCAGAGGACATAACTCAAGCGATGTCCCTATGTTGTGGGGACCTCTGTGGTGTCATAGATCACTAGGGAGTCCCAGGCTGGATCATCCCTGGGTAGCCACAGGATACACAGCAGGACCAGGCTGCGTAGCAGGTCAGAGGTCAGCCCATGGTGCCTCTGACCAGGAGAGAAACAGGGGACATGGCCCACTAAGGAGGCCAAGAGTGAGGGAGTGAGAGATGGGATTGCTTCCCTCTGGACCCTTCATCACGGCAGCGGTCACAAAAAGCAAGGTCCCTGTATTCCCTGAGATGAAAGACATAAGGGCCGGTGAAAGGTCCTTTGAGGACCTGGAAAGCAGGCCTTGTTCTCGCCCCAGGAAATGATTCTCTATCAAGACGTCACATCCTTGGGGAAAACATCAGGTCTAGAAAGAAAACTTGTCCTGAAAGACACACCTGTCATACACACACACACACACACACACACACACACACACACACACACACCTACATATATCTTCAAGTTCCTGGGCCTCTACCCAAGTGTTTCCTGTGGGTAAAAATCAATGCATATGGCCCTCGCCACCACCACCCCTGCACTCACCCCCTCTTCTCCATGTGGGGCAGCAGCCGGCTCAGCAGCAGGGCTGGGGCCTTCACATTCACATCCAGGATCTGAAATCCCAGATAATACAAAGGTTGGACTGGGAGACAGAACAGAGGCAAAGCTCCATGAATATGGTGGGTCGCTGAGACACTGAGTCCTTTTACTATGAGCGAGGGTGTCTTAGTTAGGGTTTTGTTGCTGTGATGAAACCCCATGACCAAAAAGCAAGTTGGGAGGAAAAGGTTTATTTGGTTTACACTTCCACATCACTGTTCATCACTGAAGGAAGTCAGGACAGGAACTCAAACAGGGCAGGAACCTGGAGGCAGGAGCTGATACAGAGGCCATGGAGGGGCGCTGCTTACTGGCTTGCTCCCCCTGACTTGCTCATCTTGCTTCCTTACAGAACCCAGGAATACCAGCCCAGGGATGGCACCACCCACAATGGGCTGGGCCCTCCCCCATCAATCACTAATTAAGAAAATGCCTCACAGCTGGATCTTATGAGGCTCCTTTCCCTCTGCTGACTGTGGTTTGTGTGTCGAGCTGACATAAGAGCAGCCAGCACAGAGGGTCAGAGTTTGTCGGAGGGCACACATGCTTCTGAGGCCCCTGAGTTCCCCAGACCTCAGAGAATTACCATACTCAGCTCCCATACAAACTCCACTTCAGCCTTCCAAAGGCTGGGGAAGTATGGGGAGGACAAGGAGAGGAATTTGGCTATTAGTGACTGACTGAAAGGGGGAGCATGGGCCAGAGAAAAGGAGTGTGTGCTCGGCACCTAATCTACCTCCGGAAGTGTTTGGAACCAGGATGGCATTGTTCATGGTGCATTTGTTGTTTTGGATACTATTTTGGTCGGGTTAGGTTGAGTTAAACTTTTATGCAGTGTTTAGGAGTCAAACCTGAGCCATCTTTAAAAAGAAAAGAAAGAGCTGGAGAAGTCTGGATGTGGTTGAAGGGGGAGGTGGAGGAACTGGAAGGTGGATCCAGGAGGCTATGGAACGTAAGAACCACAGAGGACAAAGTGGGGCAGAGTCTACCGAGAGAAGATGGCAAGGTGGCCCAGGGAAGAAGACCCACGAGAAGGGAATGATGCACTCAGATCACAGGCCCATTCCCCGCCCCCAGCGACAGGAGGGGGTTCAGACCTGACTAGCCGCGGGTGAGCTCGTCAGGATAACAGGGATGGGGTCTGCCCAGGCAGTAGGAGCTCCCTGAGTGCCCAGTGGCTTCCAGCTGAGACCGCAGAGCTGGGAAAGAGCCCCAGCTGTCAGCTGTGCCTGTGGCTCCTTGGGACAGCCAGGCTGAAGGGTTCACAGAGGCGCCAGTGAATCTAGGTTGTGACAGTTTCATAAACCTGAGCCTGAGGGTTTCTGCCGTGACCAGACCCGGACATCTTCTTCCGGCATCTCAGGACTTAGTAGCAGTGATCGGCATGAGGAGAGTCAACACAGGAGCTACACGAGCCTGGTAGAGGCTGGGCGTGGCCAGCACCTGTTGAACCTAGTTATGGAAAGCCTGACTCAGGTAAGCCCCGCGTCTGTCCATCAAAGCCAGTGTTGACGCAGCGCTGTGGGAACTCAGGCGAGGTACGTGCACACGCATTCATGCGATCATGAGTACATATAGACACCGTGTAGGAAGGCACTCTCCTTACCTTGTCCCAGATCTGTTCACTGGCTCCCAGGGTGCTTCCTACCAAAGGATTGACTCCTGCCACACACACCAGGAAGTCAACACCCCCAGAGTGTCCCAGGGCCTGCAGAGGAGATGGCAGGGCATACAGGTGAAGAACAGAGGAAAGAGTAACAATGGCCAAAGAAAACCACTGTTCTGTTTTGAATCTGACATGTGCCCCACAGGTTCATATTTTAATGCTTGTTTCCCAGCTACTGCACTGTTTGGGGAGGCTATGGACCTTTAGGAGGCGGAGCCGAGCTGGCAGAAGGTCACCGAGGGCAGTCCCTTGAAAGTTACGCCTGGCCCACAGTACCTGCCACACCTTCTGCTTTTCCATCTACTGTGATGGGAACAGACTTGACCACATACTTCCACACCCATGCCTTCCCCGGCATGATGGACGGGAACCACAGACCAAAATGAACCTTTATTTAAGTTGTCTCTGTCAGGTATTGTGACCACAGAAACTTAAAGCAGTGACTGCCTGGCCATCCTGGAGCTGTGCCAGGCCAGAGCCGGATCCTGACAGAGACTGAATGAAATGGTGTTTCTTCCCTCCTTGGATGAATCCAGTTTCTGCCATGTAAGACATCTGGTTGGTTCCTGGATCCCACCTTCAGACCTTTGCTCAGACCTAAGGGTCCTGCTTTCAGCTCTTCAATTTCCAGTTGATTCCTTCTCTGCTCTCTTCTCTTGCCTGGAAGGATTCTCTTTTGTCTACTACAACACCTGTCCATTCCATGTTCCTTCAGATCCCACCTCACAACCCACTTCTTCTGGGGTGGTCACAACAGGAGCTGATCCTAAAGCTCCTGTTTCAGAAGCTAGTCTAATGGACAATCCATACAGTACATGTTGGGCCAGGGCTACACAGCTCAGACTTTATTGTAGAGATAGTTTATAACTCTGACCCCTGTGAGGTTCTAGGCAAGCTCCGTGGTCATGTCAAACTACTGGCCATCTCTTTGATTAGTATGAGCAGCACAGCTGTTCCTTCCTGTCAGGAAATCTTTTAGTCACATCTGACTATCCTGAGAATGTGAGATTAGCCTCATTTACAGACCTGGAGACCTCAGTCCCCATCATGCCATGGTTAGATCCGTGTCTTTCCATCTGCCCCAGCCTATGGCTCCTTACTGTGGCCACAAGGTGCTGGCGGTCCTCAGCCTTCCCCACATGGCACACAGTGCCCGTCACACTCAGCCCCTCCTCCTTCAATACGGCCACAGCTCGGTCCACATTCTGTTGCTTCCGGCTGCTGATGACCACATGCGCCCCATCCTGGGCCAGACGCCGGGCGATGGCAAAACCAATCCTGTGGGCAGAAAAGGAGATGCCGATAATGGTTTCTGCTCTCTCTGTCTTGTTCCCAGGCAGAGCCTGATGACCAAGTCAATTGTTTCCCTGAGGTTGCCCAAGAACAGCTTCAGAGTCTCCTGTAGCGGGCAAGAGCAATCATTGAGTACCTACCACATTCCAGTCCTTCATGGTCTGCTCATTCATTCCCATGGCTTCATGCATGATAATTATACTATAGAGATGAATATATCTCCATAATTTTATTAAAAGGAGCTTTTAAAAGGCTGCATCATCAGAAGAGTTTTGGCCTGGTTGGGTATCGGGCCTAAATTGTAGACTTCTTAACTAGTCAACATTGTTGCCTTTTCCCAGCCTCAGGGGTCTGGCATGGCTTATACTTTTTCTAAAGCTAATGCCTTCCCTCTGGACTGCAATTGTGAAACTTTCTGCAGCAGGACGTGCTATCCTCTAGATCTCCCAACACCGAGGGGGTCTGAAGACTTGGTTGGTACTGGTCAAGCAGCTGCAATCAAGGAAGAGAAAGAGGCATGTACCTGGTGTCTTGTCGAAACTATCTGGGTAGCTGGAAATTTTTAATGTATTTTATTCATTATGAATACTGAGAATTGAGAGCACACAAAATGATAAGACATCACTGGGATCTGGAAAATCTAATTCTTTTGTTTTTCCCAGTGATTCTAAACAGTTCTAAATATATTGGTGGTGTTAGGACCATAAAAGAATAAGAGGATGAAGGTCTCCCCTCCTTCTGATGATGTAAGGTCTCATTATAAATGCATATCATTACGGGAGCCAGAGGACAACTGGAACCAGGGGAATGTGGGAAGCCATGTGAGGGCACATAGACCACTCTGAGCTAGTGGCGAGACATTGCCCTGCACATTCCTGGTGCTGTATGCAGTCAAGGAGACCTCTGAGTCTGTGGCACAATAGATGTCAGGCTGCTTTCTGTTAGCAGAGGACTCCAAATACAGTGGCCATGTGGGTAAGGGAGACAAGGAAGCAGAGATGCTGTTCTGGTGGTAAAATGTTAATCAGGGATTGTCCCACGAACATGGTAAGAGACTACCTTCAGACTCAGCCCTGGTTATCTAAGAGCAGCTGGTTTTGTAACTACAAATCTTCATGGAGCTCAGAAACCAGATGTTTTAGGGAGAAACGTTGAGATACAGAGTTAAACTGCAGAGCTCTGTGATGGGTGGGGGGACAGGCGAGGATATGTGAGATGTGTGTATCCGCGGGGACCATGGCAACATCTCCCAGTAATGAGCCTTCCAGGGACTTCCATTCACTCACCCTTTTGTAGAGCCAGTGACCACAGCCACTTTATCAGCCAGGGCAAGTTTCTCATCTGCTTTTTTGCTGAACATTCTTGCTGAGAGAAGGAATGATGCACATTGATGGCCCCTAAAGACCTGTGGGATAGACCTGAACATGGCAGCCATTGGAGAGAGACCTGTGAAGACAATCATAATTATGGAACACATTAGAACTTGCGGTCTCCTGGGTCCTCCATGAAGTCTCTGACAGATGCTCCACCGTCCTCCAAACTTTCCAGAAAATACAGAACCCTTTTGTGGGATAATCTTTTTGTACACTGTGAAGATCTATCTCTGCCTAAGGAACCTTCTAATTGGTTTAACTAAGAGCTGAATGGCCAATAGCTAGGCAGGAGAGAATAAGCGGGACTTTCAGGGAGAAAGAGGAACTCAAGAAGAATCTGAGGCACATGGGATTAAGCCAGTGAGCACAGAGGGAGTTAGACATACAGTATGGAGGAGAGGTAACGAGTCATGTGGCAAAACATAGATTAATATAAACAGGTTAATTTAAGTTATAAGAGCTAGTTGGGAACAAGCCTAAGCTAAGGCCAAGCATTCATAATTAATAAGAAGTCTCCATGTCATTACTTGGGAACTGGTGGTCCAAAGAAAGACCAGCTACAGAACCCTCCATGCCCTTTCTGTAACCTAGGCTCTAGACAGGCTTCCCCATAGTGAACCACCAGCACAGTATGTAGCCAGGCATGGTGCTGAGCCCCAGGTAGATGCCTAAGAGATACTTACCTGACCTGTTTCCAAACCTCCAATAAGGAAAGTCACTTACAGTATGTTCTTCTTACATACATCCTTTATCTGAACATTGAACTTTTCATTTCCTTTGGGGGATCGAACCCAGGGCCTAATAAAAGTTAAGCATGTGCTCTGGCTCTTTCCCAGGCCCTTAAGCATTGAGCTTATTTCTTCCCAGCATCTTCAGTTTCCAACCAGTCCCTTCCCTGTTAAAGTCTTCTCTTCCCCCAGGTCCCTTCCCAAAGCAACAGCAATAACCCCTTTGTCAGAGATAGCAAACTTTCAGCGCATCTGACAAGCAAGTTGCTTCTCCCAACAGGACTCCCAGTCAACTCTACGTGAAGCCTAGCCATCCTCTCCTTTTCCCATTCAACTCTATGTGAACCCTAGCCATCCTCTCCTTTTCCCAGTCAACTCTAC